CTTTTTCCCGGGGGCGGCTTCCCTCGCCTCCAGCTGCCTCTGCCGGCAGGACTTGGCAGGCTCGGGCAGCTTGCGGACCTCCCGGGGGAAGGATGTGAGCACCTGGATGGCCCCGCTGCCCACCTTGGCATTTTGGTTCTCCTCGCTGCCAAACTCATCCGTGCTGGACATCTTGTAGAGGGGGAGGACGTGCAGTTGCTCATCTTCAGGGATTTTCCCCACCACGCGATTGTCTTCCTTTGTCAGCGTGCAGACCTGGGGGACACACGGGACACCATCAGTGTGAAGCCACACAACCTGGCACCCCACCCCACCAAGCCCACAGTGGTCCCCAGCCGGCTTTTGGGAACCTCCTGCAGGGTGGGTCAGACAAACCCAAGCACATGGTCCTTGCTAGCACCGTGGTTTAGTCCAGCTGGGGTGGCTTCAGCACCCCACAGACCTGAACGGTATCATTTGAAGTGTGTAACCACTGAGGAGCAGCCCATGGAGTCATGCAGGGATGACAACTGGGGACAGCTAAGTGGCTTAAAAAGGAGCACAGAATCATAGAATGAATCACAGAATGAATCATAGAATGAATCATGAAATGGTATGGGTTGGAAAGATCTTAAGATCATCCAGTTCCAACCCGCTGTCACAGGCAGGGACACCTTCCACTAGAGCAGGTTGCTCCAAGCCCCTGTGTCCACACTGGCCTTGACCAACCTGGCCTTGAACACTGCCAGGGATGGGGCAGCCACAGCTTCTCTGGGCACCCTCACAGGCGAGGAACTTCTGCCTTATCTCCTCCAACCTGAACTTCCCCTGTTTCAGTTTGAACCCATCACCCCTTGTCCTATCACTCCAGTCCCAGATGAAGGTCCCTCTCCAGCATCCTTGTAGCCCCCTTTAGATACTGGAAGCTGCTCGGAGATCTCTACGCAGCTTCTCTTCTCCAGGCCGAACAGCCCCCATCAGCATCCCAAACACAAGGGAGAGCATCCCAAAAAGCCCCACCAGCCCCCTGCTTACCACTGTGCAGCCGTTGTAGAGGTTATGCTGATCTTTGTGAGCGTGAGCACAGAAGTCCATGCAGGCTGTTACTCCCGAGAATGGCCTCCCCTCCTTCAAGCCCAGCCGGCAGTCGATCGCCACGTCCTCGTTGGTAACCTGGAGGAAGGAGGAGAAGGCTTTGGATATCCAAAATCTCCTACGTGCCACCACCTTGCCCCTGTTTCTGCCTGCTGCTGGGTGATGTGTTCCAAAGGGGATGAGCCAGTACCTGGTTTTGGTAGGCTTGTGGTGCCAGCCTCTTGTAAAGTGGAGCAACCTCAGTGGCCAAGTCCTGAAAGCTTTTCCGGAGCAACTCTTCCTGCAGCAGGGAAAAGAGGAGGATGTCACCCAGGGGGTTTGGCAGCAGAGAACAGAGCCCCTGCGCACCACATGGCACCCAACCCTTCCCATGATGTCCTCCACTGCACAAACTACACTGCTTAAATTCCTGGTGACATTTTGGCCATTCAACCTCCACCCTCAGCCCCTGTTGTGCTCCAGCTTGCTCGATCCATGAGCCCTCTGGCATCTTCCCTGGGGTTTCTAGAGAGGACCCATTTGTGCCACCCCACACCAGCACTTGCTGTCACACCAAAAGCCCTGGTTCTAGGACATGAACATAAGCCTGCCTTCAGGTTTCACCAGGCTGGCTTCCATTTCCCCATCTGGAGAAGAGAAGCTGCTGGAGACCTCAGAGCAGCTTCCAGTGTCTGAAGTGCGCTACAAGGATGCTGGAAAAGGAGCTTCATCAAG